CACCTTAAGTGTCTTAGGCCATCCTCCAAAATACTGGTGGCATGAAGACCTTTTCTCTTGATAAGTGGGATGTATTGATTCCTTCCTGCGTTTTTCTTTCTGGATTTTCACCAGGATTTTCACTTGACCTCATCACCTGTGCATAATCGACTCTTTCACTAAAGAGGTTGTTGAGAGCTGATGCAACAGTCAGAGACACTCAAGTGTATTATGGTTAGTCTTGAAAGATTAATCAAAAATTGCAGAGATCAAACTTAATCAATATCCAGAATCTTTATGCAGTATTTTTTTTCCTAAAAACATAAATGCTCCAATAATGTCTTTCTTAAAACATACATTTATGTAGTGTTTCATTTCTTTTGCTACATTATCAAGGTAATGTGAAGAAGTGAAAATGTTCTTTAATCAGTATATACACACATAAAAACATCCGCTTCAATGCCCAGGCTTTAAAGGACTTGACCAGCTTTGTTGTTTCCTGTGTGTAACTGAATTCACAATTCAGAAAATCAGAATTTCCACACACTTGGGCCACTCTTCTTTCACAGTTCAATGGCATGAACTGATAACTTAGTGCAGTTTGTACATAAACAATGGGTTTCTGCATTGTAAAGCACAACTGCACCAATACTTTGTGTTTCTCAGGTCAGCTATTTTAAGATATGGAGTGGGTTTTACAGCTGGCTTTCTTTTGTTTCAAGAGCAGATATGCACACCTGAGAAGTCATTAGGTGGCACTTAGATTTATGTGATTTTAATTTCCCAGTCCTCTTATCAGTTACAGATTCCCCTATGATGCAAATACAGCAAAGCAGCTGTGCACCCCTGTCCTGCTCATTTAAGAACTCCCTTTAGTTTTTTTTTGGTGTTATTTGTAACTGCATTTGTTAATGATTTATGGAGGGCTTACTTTTTGTAGTATCTTAGTTCTGACAGAAATATTGTACAATAAAAAGAATCAAAATATTTTTTTCTTTAAAATCAAGCAATATAATCAATCAAAAGAAAACAGTTAAGGAATGTGTCAGTAGAATCTATTTTGCAGGTGGACTGTACGTGATTATTGCTTGAATTAAAAATGAGAGTATGGCAGTTGTAAGATAGGTGACTATAATAGAAAGAACGTTTAGCCAAATAATCTAATACTACAGATGTTCACTGTTTTATTTAGGTACAACTACATGATTAAATGTAAATGTTTGATTTTATCTTATGTTTATATTAAGAAAACAACTTTAAAGTGACTAAAATAATATTTGATAAGCACATTGGTGTGTTTTTTTTACTAGTCACATGGTTACAGTCTAAGAATCTTCCAATAAATTCTAATAAAGTACACATCTGACTGGTACTTTTATTAAAGTATTCACAAGATATTTAACTAGTTAGGAGTGCATGCTGTATGCTTTCAAACACCTATTAAGTGTATATTGAGCATATTTCTTCTTTTATTGTGTGTACTGCTTAGTACACTTGCACATAAACCATTCTGCTGCTCTGCAAAAGACATTAAAATACTTTACTAAAAACATACTTTACTCACCTCAGATAAATAGCTGTGAAATAATTTACCATTTTAGCTTTTTTGAAAAGGCATATTTTGTCTATTGACAAAACTGCTTACCCTTTTGACATTGACACGCATTTCTGTATTTTGAAAATAGTTGAAAGTACTTAAGTATACTGTACATAGTCTGCAGTGAGTATGGGTCTTTTGATACGTCACACCTTCTGTCAGAAATCTGATAATTTCTTAAAAGGTCCCAGTGTATTAAGCTCAGTGATATAATTTGACTCTACTGTGTATATAAGAAAGGATATGTAAATATTATTCTTAAATATGTAAATTTATGTCTTAGTCTTTAATGAGAGAATTTAATGAGATTAATGAGATAATAATGTCTTCTGATAATCTAAGTACAAGGTGATACATGGAACATCACCTCTAAATGTAACAAAGACATTAAGCTGTGTGTTTGGAAAAGTCACTAGGTTTTTGAAGTCAGGTCTTCATATTCTGTATGTCTAAGTGATTAACTGTGAGATTTGATCCTCAATGTCTTTTTATTAGCTTATGGGTATAAATGATTCTCATAACCTGATTGTGAAATTTTAAAAATTATAAGGCAGGAATATGGACCTGGATTTTCAAAAACAATGAATTTATACTTTTCAATCTACACTTAGTCAGAACTATGATTTATATGAAGTATTAGATGTTTGTTTTTAGTCTTCATGTTACTGCAGCATATCATATTAGCATTAGTCTCATATTAGAATCCAAAGAGCTGTTTATTTAATATACTCATGTTTGTATTGATTTATAAACTAGTATCTGTCATGCAGAGTAATCAAATGCCTGATTTGTTTGCACTTTAAAATAATGAAATTTCACCAATGTTAATTTTCTGTAAACATATTTATAGAGTCTGCAGTTATATTTTTTATTTTAATTTTGTGAACCTATGTTTGAAGCCCTGCCATATTAAAACATGTGCCCCCTAACAGAGTGGAGCTGCCCGTTTACCCCAGAAATCTTTGCATCCATGGTAACAGTATTGGCCCTCTGCATGAGTGTGTGTATCTAGCCCTGCATGAAGCACAGGGCCGGGCTACCAGAAACTGTTCTGTTTCTGGCTTCTTTCTGGTTTTTGTGCTTGTTATTGTGCTGCCTTTTTAATATGGCTGGGCTTAGCATAATATTTTTTTGCTGTTTCGGTGAGGTTGAAAAATTCCTTTAAACGGATCAAATTGTTTCCAGAGGTGATTGTAGTTCACTTTGTTTTGCGTTGTGTTTGTGATCAAAGCTGGCAAACATAATTGAAATATAACATATTGATGATCAGTTATTTGAAGATACTCCTAAATTGTTCTTGATACTGTGGAGAAATATGTTATTCTGTAATATGAGGTTATTCTTCTACCCCTGTAGCAGACTTTCTCGATTTGGTGACATGACTATCTTTCTAGTATTTACTGTTCTTTGCTTTACCAATTATGGAGTAAGGTGTTTTGTGGTTCCGTAGGGAGGAATGTATGTGCTAACATTAGTATTTAACTTGATTTTAATTTACTTTTTCTTTCATTCATTACCACTGCAAGAGTTAAGCAATTATTTTAGATATGTCAAAACGCAGGAGTGAGACTGGTGGATTTGATTCAACAGCACTTCGGCCCTGTTTTCTCTAGATGTCAATGTAGCCACTTTATCCCTGAAATGGCTGTACTCCAGTACCGTGGAGAAAAAAAGAGATTCCAAACTGCACAATCATTGTAAAAAATAAATCCATAAGTACAGATGTTCAGAAGGTATTACATGGTATTAATATTATTATCTGGTAAGAGATGGAATGGTGGTGTGGCATTTAATACAGCAGCTTGGGATAGATTCCAGGCTTGAGTGCCTTCTGTATGAATTTTGCATGCTCTCCCATGGTCAGATTTTTTATTTATTTATATGGCATCTGTTTATGTTCTATTGTATATGTGTGTGTTTGGCCTGTGATGGACGGCACCTCATCCAGGGTGTGTCATGCATTGAGCCTGTTGTATGCTGGGTTAGATTCAACCTTACCATGCACTCTGTTGCGTTAATCTGAGTACAGTTCTGTTTTTTTTAGAACCATTGCATACGTTTCCATTAAAACCCTGAGATATGCTGTATTTGTTATATACTGTATTATTTACATGCAGAGAGTGGTAGAACAGGACTTATTACTGGTGATTGGGAACGAATGGCAGGAATTCTAACCTCACTATATTATTGAAGATACTTTTCCATCCGTCTCTTTTTCTACACCTTTTCTTTCTCTTCTTCCTCCTCCCCACACTTTTTCACCTTTATTTCTACGTTTATATGAGTTTGATAAACTCATAAAATAGATCTAGAGCCAAACCTTCAGCAATTATTAATACTTTTCCCCAAAGTTTCATCAATGGAATGAAGACACTAGTTTTTGGTTGTTAAATGTTTGACTCTTTTATTTGTTTATGGGGCTACCAATATTTGTAGTCTTCATTATATTAACATTGCTTGGGTGTTGCACCCTGGCTGGTGACAGCAACGGTTGAAATGTTGTTGAACAGCTTAGTTTGTCATAGGCGTTGCTTGAATATCCTCTTGTTGTGTTGCTAATAAATGCAAGTGAAGGGTTCTGAGGCTTGAAGAATGTCCTTTAGACTATGAGCATTTATGCTATGGCATTTTGTTACCATGTAGTGATCTAATGACCTGTACATTAGTAGAAATCTCTTTAAATTTCTGCACCACTGTCTCATACTGTATGTCACTGTGGAGATGCCAGAAATAATCTTATCATGTAAGAACAGATCTGTGCCAATACTTATTGTCATGCAATAAGAAAATGTACTCTTATTTGTCACTCAGTGTTATGTGTATTTTTTACATTATCATTCCAATATATCAGAAACGAATTGACTGCAGTAACACTGCTACGGCTAAATTATTAAATTTTCATGAAATAGCTGGTTTATATTGTATGTATTGTAGCAGATGAATCCAGTACGTCTTTGAAGTTCTGAAGTATTTCAGTTTGTTTCAAATTTAATGTGATACATTCCTTAAAAGTTATTGAACTATTCTAATCCTTCATTTTAAGTACACTTAACATGTTAAGTACACGTTTTTGAAAAAAATGTGTATAAATAAAACTGATGATCTTGTTATTAGCAGACACTAAGTCAAGCCCAAGCTTTCATTATTAAAGCAAGGTAGTAGAGTTCATTTTCGGTATTGCAGAATCCCAAGAAATTCCTCTATTTGCGTTCAGTTTAGTACAAAACTATACGATTGTATGCCAGCCCCCAGTCTCACTCCCCTAGCCTCCTAATCCTTGTTGTCATCTGCTTCTTGCTGTTGCAACTCAATCCAGGACTGTTAAATGCACAGGCCTGTGAAAGCTTGGGCCTTGTTCACTGCTTTGTAGTTTTTGCTGTGTGTTCCTAAACTGCCGTGCTGATATATTCATCATACATGTCAGCTGAACGTGGTCGAGGGAGAGACGAGAGGAAGATGGCCTGTGGGGCAGAGGAATTGTTTGGCGCCACGTCAGAAAGCGACACGTCCACATTTCACGGCTTCGACGAGGACGAGTTCGATGAGCCTCTGTCGCACGGCGGCGTGGCCTCTCCCAGGTGCAGATAAAAATGAACTGAACAAACGAAAAACAAAAACCTCTGAAAAACAAAACTGCTGCTTCTTTATTATTTTTTTTTTTTTTTTAGTGGAAAGCACAACTGATCACTTCTGAAGAGAGAGCAAGTGTTATTTTTTGTTTATTTTTAGAGGACGATTTATGCTTTTTAATAAGTTAGGGATATTGTTTTTTTGAAAGAAACTTTTAAAGCAATGAGCAACTGACAACCTCTGCTGAATGGCTTGTTGTCTGTCTAATGCAGAAGAACCTTTATTCTGGAATTTTCCTTGGAGAGGAGATATTTAAAAAAATCTAACTTTGAAATATGGATTTAATTGTACAGTGTGGTGTGGTACAGATTTGCCAGCCTAATCGGAATTTAATAACAATAATAGAAGACTGCATCAGAAAACCCGATGTGTAAAAAAAAAGAAACTATCCTTTGGCTTTCTGTCTGTTGCTGGATAGGAAGGGCAGAAAAAGATTAATTGAACCCCTCACTGGCATTGCACAGCATCATTGAAGAAGGGAATGGGACACTGGATTAAAACAGTCTGAAAATGAAGGAATAGCACAAGACCAACGTCTTTACGCCTGATGAAGCAGTGGTTTCACATCACCATGAAGGGACTCAAAGGCTACACCTGGGCCTGGAAGTAAGAGTAAGGAAGGCACAAGAGTGAACAGACTCACACTGGGGCATGGAGGACAGAGCTGACAGGTAAGAGCCAGTCGGCATTTCTTTCTCACTTTCACTTATTTTAAGATGCATTCCATAGAATGTTTAAGGGGAGTTCAATTACTCCTCTCTACTTTCATAAGATAGCTTGATCAGAAAGCCATCTAACGATCAAATGTAAAATAATTTCATAGGGCAGAGGATCTGTGCTCTAGAGCCCTTAAAATATTTACATACCATGATCTTTTACATGGTGTCTGGAACAGGAACATTCATGATTCATTCGTGATTAGTGCTGGTCAACAGCTGCTTCCTTGACTAGTTGCTCTCTTTGGGGGGACATGTAAAATTCCCAGAACTGTTCAATAAAAAGGTAAGTAGGAGAAAAACCAGGAGAGGTATCAATTGTACATTTCTTAAGACGCCAGTTTTTCTGTTATTATAATAAATCGACTCGAACTGAATCATAGAAATTCAGTTAAAACTGAAAGCAACTAGAAAAAAACAGTTCCAACCCACTTTACAAGGGCAGTAAATATATTTATAGAAATTGAATGAATTAGTAAAACTCTGTTCTGACATTTCTTAAAAGGTCTTGGTAATGAATTGCAACATTTTGTCCCAAAAAACTGAAATCATTTAAGAAATTTTGACTAACATTGATTCACTTCTGTGGCATACTCTTCATTTCACTGCTACACTAACTGTAGTAGTTCAGGCCATGACACATCTGTTTGATTCACAGATGAATCTTCACTATTACAATCCTTACTGTATCTGTGAACAGACAACATTGTCTCTCTCTGAAGTAGCATAATCTATAAAATGCATTCCTTTAGTTCAGAAGAGTATGCTTAACCATCCAATTGTGTGTGGTAGTTATTCTCCTTAAGTAATAATGCTAAATAAACACATTCTCTTACCTCTCCCCATTATTTCCCTCTTCTTCACCCTGAAGCCATCTTAAGACATACAATGTATTGCCTGATTCCTAAAAATTAGAATATTTGTGCTATATTTAATGGTTAACAAACAGCAAGAACAACCTGATTACCTCTTTATAGCCATAGGGACTTCAGTGACAACATTTAGAAAATAAGGTTGCAAAAATAGAAATTTGGATGGTATGGGGATTTTCAGTGAACAATTTGACATGAATAAGAGGAGGTCATCCTGTTTGGTAGGTAGCAGCTAATTGACTCAGGGATCTCATCCAGCTTTTTCTTGAAAGAAGCCAGGTTATCCGCTTCAACAACATGGCTGGGTATGAGTAAAGAGGAGAGTTTTGTGCATTGTGTGCTTATCACTTTATCACTAGACATACTGCTGGTCCTGCAGTAATGTTTTCTTATCATATTTCTAATTACACATTTCTGTTGTTTTTTGGCCAATCAAACCACTACGGGAAACTAGAAAGCTAACTTAGCTAAAAAAAACGTCATTCTTCATCAGAAAACCTCTTATTCCTAGTGGGGGTTACATCCATCTGATGTTTATTCTGGAAGGACCGGACACAAGATGCATACTGGATGGGACATCAGTCCATCTCAGCTAATAATTTTTTTTTTTAATACAAGAGTAAAGTGCTGCCCCTTAGTCACAGCTTATGGTATATTTTTTGGGCTATCCAATTCAACCTAATGTAGTGTTTCATTAAATATTTAATTTGAACAAAGGATAGCATTCACAGCCTTTTCACACTTTTCCACAGTATTTCCATGGAATTACTGCAGTTTTCTGCAGTCTCACTTTGCCTTACCACACTGGACATTGGGAATGGACCAGAAATCATGTGAGATTTTGCAGTGATATCTTTTAAATCTTTGGAATTTAACAACAGAGGGTTTGAAATTTTAACATTCTCTCAGACATTTTGTGGTATGTTAAAGTGTGTAGTGCTTCCAAGTTAAAAACTTAAAGACACTTTTCAGTTAAGACTCATCCTCTATTGAAAGCATAATCCATCTGTTAATTTTGCATGAGGTCTTAAATTCACTTGTTTCTTGTTTTTACAATCCCCCCCAAAAAACACACAAAATTTAAAAGAAGAATGTACAATGCAGAGTACTTAGTTGTTTTCTTTAGATCTGAGTGTGAAATGTATCGTTCATTTGGTAGCAGCATTTTGATAGTGTCCATCAAGTTCCTAGTTTCACTATCTTAACAGTACTTTGTATGTTTACGTGTTCATGAGCTGTTTGAGAAACTGACATTTTAATCACATTTTACATTATTACTGGCAGTTTCTCAATTAGTTTCAGTTTACAGAATCATAAAGCAATGAGTAGCCTTTTGGAAAGTGTGCAAAGTACTTTGAATCTTAAAAATTATATTTGTTAGGTCATGCTTTGGGACTTTCTTGTACTTTATTACTTTATATTATGATGTAGCACTGATTTGTTTTATGCTGCTCCTGTATTAAAGGCAGGTTCTGTTTTTTGCCTGAGTTAATGATTGACAGTTGGCATGTCGAAAATAATATTATTTATAGCAATATCTTTAAAGTTTTCTGTATGGATATCTTAAAATCCCTGTGCCTTCCATTTCTCCCAAATTGCACTCCAGAGAAAGAAGATCTGATAGGAATGACTATGTGGTTTCTTAGATCTGTTTTTCCTTTTAAATCATATAGATTGCTTTGAAAAGTAGCTGGGTACCTTCAGAAGGGTATATTCAGATTAATCATAATTAAAAGCATGTCATTTTATCTGTCCCCAAAGGCAGATGATGATAATTTACATGAATTGCATTACTGAATACACTGGTCTATGAAGAGGCACTGTAATGTGATATAACATGGATCTTGAAAGTTGCTGAAATATACAACAAAGCCTCTGGGTTAAAGCTCTTACAAATGATTTGATATGGTGTTTTGATTATGACTTGTTATTGCTTATTTTTGCTGTTACCCATCCAACGAAAAGTCATCCCCATTCCCTCTCTAGGAACAGAACAGATCCGGGCTCCAGGCACCTAGCCACCAGACGCAGGGGCATAGCCATTCCCCAACACCTTCTCTGTGGACCTGTGGACCAGACCCTCAGGAGCTACCAGACAGACTATGAACACCCCCCTTTGCCAGACAGACCAGAAGCCCTTTGGAAGGTTCCAAGCATGTGCAATACAGTTGTAGAAACCATCGTGTTTTCAGGAGGAAAAGAAAATCCCAGTTGAACTGGGACTCATAATTTGAAAATAATAGTAATAATAAATAATAATAATTTAAAATTTTAGGCTTTTTATTTTTATGAACTGTGCTACAGCCATAGCACCTGTAGCTTGATTTTAAGCCTCTGATTTTGTGTTTGCTAATTTGGTGGCATAACTTTTATTGTAAGTACTTTTCTTAAGTAAAAGAGTAATAAAAAACTTGGTAATGATTTTGAAGGACTGTTAATCACGATAGATGTGTGAAGGATCAGTGTATAACTGCACTTCTCTGTTATTTCATTGTTACTGTACATATCCTGTCACTAACCTCCCAAGATAAGATGACAGTCGCTGTTCCATTACTTGTGTTATTTAAAGAACCTTACTGTAACATGACATTGTGCTTTTAGAAATCTAATCATAAACAGTTTTATGATAAGGAATTGATTGGGTGCAGATGCTTTGAAAACATAAAATGTGGTATAATATTGTTAGAAATCAACATAATTCCTTGCCCAGACTTAATTTCCTAATCATCTTATCAACTAAAAAAGAGACTTCTGGACAACTTACCTTGGGAGAGTGATGTATATTCTGATTGATATCCTTGGTCTCCTTGTTGAGCAACTCTTAGGTTAAAAGTCTGAAAAGACTTTTAAAGCCCGACAAAACGTGTATTAAGAAAGCAAAATTGCATGGTCCAATACAGAAAATTGTTTATAAGAACAAGTGAAGTTTGGAAGCATATTAAAAAATACATATATGCGTAGAAGGTCTTGATTCTCACCATTTTCATCACTGTGCGAATATTTACTGTAAGTTCTGTGTTTTGAGAAGCTGTTTGTACTGTAGTAACATAACAAAACATACAGTATTACGAACAGAAATGGCACCAAGGGATTATGGAGAACATGTATGCAAAGATACACCACCAGTAACAAGTGGAAAAAAATGTGTACACACTGTTCTCCAATAGGTTCCCTAGAGTGACAGAAAATTATATCCCCAAAGAGTTGACACCACCTTTTATCTTTAGTGTGATGTGTCACACAGATACAGAAGAAAGAGAAGACCCCACTGGCAAGGTGAAAGACAAAATCGACAGGTTGCTGTTAGCTGTAATTAGTGCTGATGCTTCAAAAAGATCCCTGCTCCAAACATGTACTTTTATTTAATCAGAAACCTTTAAACCCTGTGAAGTCCATGCCTGAATGTCACTGTCTTACTCTGTCTTACTCTGTAGCTAGAGGTCAATTCTTATTGAGTCCTTACCACTAATCTGACCTAAGCAACATCATTAAGGATCTCTTTCCAGTGTTTGTCTCTAACTTCACATCAACAGAAATTTCTATGGCTTTGCCGGAAACTGCTCTTTCTTCTTTTAGCACACTTGTGAAAATGCATAAGCATTGGACATTTACACATGGAAGACAGCCTCTGGGAACCTTCTGGAAATATTTAACTTGTTTCCTAAAAGGACTGTAAATTCATAGCTCCTATTTCTGTCTGTTTACAGAACAGAAAAATAAAAGAGAATTGCCTATATGGAAAATAAAAAAGCCACGGTGTGATACTCTGTGATACGATTTTGTTCATTGCAAAGCTTGTATTGTTCAAATGTGTCAACTCCCTATAAAAACATGGAGAAGAACAGCTTATCGAAGTTGTCACCAGACTACCTTATGATCTTTAAAACAATTATAAATCAATTATGTTTTACAAACCTCAATTAGGTTGTCCCTTTTTTCTCCCATTGGAAAAAAATGGAAGTGACGTTCCAGCTGGTATTGGGCTTTTTTATTCAGGAGTACTACTGAAAGGCCAAAATAACTGATAAAATGTCTTCCAATAAATAATGGCATACAGGTTCAAAACACCATTTTAGTTAATTGTTTTTTAAAGCTCTCTTATAAATGTTTTAATCATGGTCTGTAGTGCAAGAGTTCCAACCACTTTCTTTCCAACCACTAGCTTTTTCTATCAAGAAACACCAACTTGTATTCTGACCATGAATTCTTATTTGTTCACTTTACAGTTCAGGTGACACAATGTTGAAATTTTACATGGTGCGAGTAGTCAAACACTGAGCCATTATTCTACATTTGTCAATGTATAATGTGTTGCACCTTCACGTAACTTAAAAGGAACTTTATAGTCTCAGATCTGTAAAGTCATATTCACTTTCAGTGTTGTAAAATTAAGAAAAAGTCTTCTTAAATTGCAATATCTGAAATTGTGCACCTACCATAACTTTGTATATAATTGTTTTGTATAGTTCAGCTTTCTTTGTTCTCTGCTGTCATTTGAGCTTTGTTCCAAGTCTTTCACTTCTGTAGGCAAATCTTCACTCACTTATAATTTCCTAAAAATGTGAAGTTCAAGAACTGTTGAATTCCCAAATGCTGGGAAGTGTCATTTCTTTATTTACAGCATAATTCATCTCTCAGTTCAGAATTCGTCACTCTTTTGTTTCATGAGAATCACACAGCCCCAGTTAATTTTGAGCTTGTTCATATTGTGGTTGACATGAGGAATTATCGTACTTTGAATAGGAAAAGATTTGTTATTTCAAATATTAAAAAATATTGTTTTTCATATTTTTAGTATAATTGTGAGATTCATTATTCGATTCATTATCTATGAACCTTATTTGTGTTTTGCTAGATTTAAGTAAAAAAAATTCTATAAATGGACATACATCATAATTTATATAAATACCCAAATAAACCTACCTAACCTAAGTAAAATCAGTATTGATCTTAAGTACTTTTAGGGTTACTTGTCTCATAGTGTGTGTGTGTGGTTTGACGTTGACTGCTTAGAACAAACTAGATGTCTGTGCTACAAGCTTGTCAACCGTAGCATACTAGGAGATAATCAAGACTTTTGATTTTCTGTCTTCCCCAGAAACTCCATGTTCTCGATAGTGAGTCGCTTTGTATACTGTTTTCTTCCTCTAATGTTTTTTTCTTCTTGAAGAAATGGAATTCGGTGTTGGTCCAATCAAGGGCTTTTAATCAAAGCTAATTAAAATGGTGTGACAGTTCATTAACCTCTAAATAGTCAAATGTCTCCCTTAAAATACTGTACTACAGATTTTACCTAGTAATTGAACAATAGCTAACATGCAGAAGTATATATATGCATTCCATTAAGAACATATAGAACGTTTATGGTATCTGTAGAAAGATGTAAAATACTTATAGATTGCATTAATCCTAATAATTCTATTTTCCATTACTTGATTAAATGAAATTCCTAATGGTAACTAATGGAAGCAGACAAAGACTTTGGACCTGTTGTTCCTTGTGGTCAAATTCTTCCACCTTATTTCTATATTTTATTATAGAGTTGCAACTTGCCCACAGGGAAAATAGGGACCATTGAGAATAACCCTCTAAAATAGTTATGACAGAGAAAAGCTAGTGAGCCACATTTTTCAGGGGTCTTCAATTTCTTGGGATTTGACTCACTCAGGTTCTGATTTTTAAAAGTGGCATATTTCAATCCCAGAGCTGTGCTCAGAGCCTGTGAAACTGTCAATTTGATCTGTACACCTCAGTCCCTGAAGGCACAAGTTTAAAGAACTAGGGATACCAGGGGGCTGTTAAACTGGTTCCTACATGTTATGCATCTGACAGATTTGGTTTTAAATCTCTTGATAGCACTGTACTGGCCTTGTAGAAATATTATTTTTTGTATTCTATTACTATTACATATAAAGGTTTATTATACTCTATTTTAAGAGGAGGAGTACTCATATATTTTAAGATTTGTGTTGAAATTGACTGATTTCACAAGATATATATTGCATATACAGTATGTAACATACTTACAAGGCCCATATTAAGTACATTAAATGGTAAAAGACTTTTGCTGTTCTTAATGTGTTTTCTACAACACCTTTCCTTTACATACATTTGAAAGCCACTTGAGCAACATTGGGATCTTATGTAGATTATATTTAATACTGATGTCTTTTAGTGTTAAGCTTGTGGGCAGATCTCTTTGACAGCTGTCACTAAATCCATCTTTGCTCTGTATTAGCCTATATTTGTGATTCCTTTCCATTTCTATTTTTTTTTTAGTTCAACTAATTTGGAATTCTATTCTTCTGTAGACATGTTTATATATTTCTATACACTGTCTATAGATGAAACTCAAAGTAGTCCTAAGATTTTACAGTTTTGTTAATTTCCATCATAAGAATCATGTCTGTTGTCATGCTGCAGTGATATTATTAGGGGTTGTCATCATGGCTTTCTGAAAATCAGGTCTTGTTTAACAGATTATTTTAACTTCTTCAGTGTGCAAGTAAATGGATTTTGTATTTATGGTATTGCTTACATCAGGATTTTTGTGTTAGAGTTACTCTTAAATCAAGAGCAGTTAATGGCACTTCTTGCAGACCTAGGTAAAATATTTGAAAATAATTTACAGGGAGCTTCATCGCATGTCTAAAAAAGGAGAAACAAGCCTATAAAGTTTCACAGTCTACAAAGTTATTTCTAATATACAGTATACAGTGAGGCTTTAAATACACAACAAATGTCATTGGTTCTATTACTCATTTGTTGTATTTTTAGTACTTACCAGTGTATGCAATTGAAGCAATTGATCTGGGTAACATTTTATGAAGGATTTTAAGAAATATAAATGTTGAATTTGAGTGAATACTTGTGCTAATTAATTATGCCAGGTCTTTTGTAGTAGAGCAAGATCATAAGAGCTAGTGTTATACTCATTTATTATAGAAGTTAAACAGTGATGTCTCAAATATAACACATTTATTTCCCAATTTCTTCAGATTTTTCATAATCTTGTTGGTTTTTATTGCTTTTGGGAACAGATCCCATATTTGTGTTCACGTATCAAATGTGTGTGCTACTGTGGTATTTTTAGTTCAATAATATTGACTTAAAAGAATAAAGTATATTAATTCTTATTCATTTTGGATAATTACATTGTTGATTTTTAAACTGAGGTTTAAAGACTGTATTAAAGAAGACAACTGAAAGAAATGTATAATGCTTCACCTTATATATAGCTCAGTATAAAAATGTCTGAGTAAAATATAGAATGATAATAAATTGTAAAGATCAGGTATTCCTGGGTTTTCTGAACTTTCTGAAAACTAGTGACCAGCAAAATGTGAATACATTGTACCAAATCTTTCCCTGGCTGCCGTGACGCCTCATAGCCACTGGAATCTCATAATCAAGTCAGGTTTTCTAACTTTGTTCTAAACCATACAAAACAGAACTTATTGTAATTCAGTGTGAATATCCTGCAGCACAAGTTTTGCTGTTCTTTACTGTCAGTAACATTCTTAGAAAAAGTATCACTGTTTTCCTGTGTGAAACATTTATGTGGCTAAAATGAGAGCACAAAATATGTTTATAGATAGCTTACATTTGTCTCTGGCATCCCCTTTCTTTAAGAGTCATTCAATAAATATGCTTATCTTGTAGAGTCTTTGAAAATAATTCATACATATTCAATTCAACATATTCAGGTTACTTGCTATTAATAATTTGCTCTAGAATTAAAAGGGCATGATAAGTGTGAGTTCATTTTAGTATTTTTATTTAACAGGTTTCTGTAGTGAAAACTGTTGACATAAGCAATGTTTCAGGAATGCTGTTAACACTACACACATTTCTGTCAGACCTTTTGTTTTCAGCCTCTTTAACTCTGTGATGAGTGCTTATAGAGGGCCATGGTTTACTTTTGTTCATTGTACAGTTATGAGTTATTTTGAGTGTGTGTGGCCAAACTAGATTAAAACCAGTCAGAGAAGTTGTCTGTATTTTTAAAGTGAAAACCCTCTGACATGGTCACATGGTTACTATAAATAGAGCTGGGTGAATAATTTTAATATTGGTAAGCTATATAAATACCTAACAGTTAGAATTGTTGAGTCATTTAAGTAAATAAGTGTGCTTTACACTTTATAAGCACCAGGTCTGGGGTCAGGATTACCAAATCTGAAAATGAAAATGTTAAGCAGCAAATATATCCCTTTTCAGTGTGTTTGACCGTTTGTTTGAAATTAACCACAAATGGGAAATGTAGAATGAGAAAGAGTGTACTCAATATTTTCTAACAAACCAAATCTGGGCCATAAGATATGGGATAAATAATCTACAAGAAAACATACTTTGAATTATTTTTTTTATAAATGGAATTAATCCTTAATTTCATTTCAATTGATTTTAAAGCCTAGAAATTACCCTTTGTTTCTACAGTCGCCTGTCTTCACAGGGTATTGTACAATACAATGCTTGGTATTGTATTTCTGCCTGTTATTAAATTAAAATTACAAGTCAGATTTATTAGTAGTGTAAGAAAAAAAAGATTTTACACCAAGTAGAGTCAGTGACTGAAACATTTTGACTTCTGATTTTTTATTTATTTAAATACTTTGGAATCTTGCAATAGTTAAGTATAGATTATGTAACAAGATTGCTTTGAGTATACTTCTTAGGGATCTGTGATGGCCTGCATGGCCTGTATTTGTTGTACATGAGGTTGATATATTGTTTTTCTCTAGATACCTCCATCAGCTCATAAGCTTTGCATTATTTCTGCTACCCTTAGCTGATTTACACTGCTTGGGGAACTTCGTGGGTCAAAACCAGATATATTCATCTCTTTCATCTGAATTGTTTGTAAGGGTGGACAAGCAAAATATGTACAAAACTGAGTAAACCTTTGCTCTGTCATTTTCAGTTATAAATATGGCATTGACACACAGCTTATTTTAGGGGTGGGGCTCCCGTTAAAGAACTTTGAAACTTTATCCATAGAATAAGCACGGTACAGTACCATAAAGAGTTGTGCATTTGTTTATGTACTCCTGAGACCGATTTTGGAAGTGAGTGGTGGGCTGTCATAATTTGTTTGGCTTTCAGTTGGCTAGGCATTGCAATGCTAGGAAGTTGATCAGCAGCCAGGCTTTGAGTTAATGTAGCTGCTGTTTGCATCAAGCAAAACAGGAAACAGAAGTATTTTGCAGGTTACACATGTGGCTTGTTTTTTAAGGAGGGGTGGTAGTAATCAGAACAGTGTTATAGCCATGTTTCAATTACAAATGACATTTCAGGGTTCCCAGGCCATGCAGAAGAGAGTGCATGGACTGAGGGGAGGTGCTCTATTGTGATGTATCCAGAGTTACTAGTCCCCAGTGACATCATTGTTTTAAGTTTTCTGTGTATGTCTATATGTGTGTCCATGTTTTACGTTAAAACCATAGCATTGCATATTCATGACAATTTTAGATGAGAAGGCTGATTAATGTTGGGTGGTGCATATTACATCTCCTAGTTTTTATAAAATGATACCTATCCTACTGTTTAATGCATGTGCTTTTTCCTTGCATAGCCTTAAAAATACAGAGAGAGCTATATCTCCAGGAGTAACATTTGGAAATAAATAGGTTCCTTGAAAGAAAATAGTCTTACCATGAATTGAATAGTGTAAAATCATGTATTGACATTTTAATAATTTAAATAATGCAGCCTTACCGGTTAAAATGCAATGGAAGCAACATGTTTCAAAAGAAAACTGCACATTGATTTATAATTAACCATTATGTTTCAATTTGTTCTAGCTTTCTCAATGCATGTAATAAGAAGATTAGTTGCTTGGCTTTGTTAACATGTTGAACAATCTCTCAGATTGTTAGAAATAGCATTTCTGATAGTAGTGATAAATTGGTTGCAAATTGACTTGACTTGACAGTGTGTGATTCTAAAGACAGTGGTCCCTGAAGAGTTTTGGGGCACTGATCGTATTAACAAAACCTGATCAATGATTTTGGAAAGAGGTGATTGCTGCTATATTGCTCTTCAAGTCTTTTTCAAATTAAAGCATGGAAAAGCTAGATGTTAAAATGGGCTTGGGACAATACAGTAGAAACTGGAGTGCATGTACCAGGTGGAAGGCTCATGGGAGAAACTGAAATGGACATCATAATTGAAAATTTCATAATTAAAAAGAAGAAACAGATGGAGTCAGCCTTTTGATTGTACATTAATGTGTATTTTAGGTCTGAATGACGAACACTGGTATTCAATTCTGCCCTAACATGTGAACAACTACTTATACCATCTAGCTGCTACAGGTGGCTTTGGAAGGAGACAGCCTTAAGACTATAATCCTTACAGATTGAAGTCAACATGTCATCAAAGGCAGTTCATCCATAGCTTATATTTTCATTTGCTTTGACCTTCAGTGCTGTACTCACATATCCTGTAGCTCTGCGTACCGTTTGTCTCAGTGTTGCAAGAAAATCAAAAACATCTTGTTATGTGGAATATTTGTTTGGGTCATAAGTGAGACCAAACCATCCTAAAGCATATTGGAGATCTTTCTGGATGAATACACTGGTTTGTTGAAAATAATTATATTTAAAAATAGATTTTTGTTTCTGTACAATCAAATTGAAAAAGGACATAGTGGAATAAAGGAAATAATTCTTGGGAAAGCAATTTCTATGGGGGCCACTTGGGTGCAGACGTGAATTCCTAGCGTGTTAGTATCCCTGCATCTTTCAAACATATTAAAAATAAATTGAAGAAAATAGAACTTAACTACAGACAGTAGATAAGTTCTAGTCAAAATATTTTAGTCTTTTTTTTTGTAGTTCAAACCAATATTCTTTTAAGGATTGGTTAATATGGCCTGGTCAACCCTCTGCTGAAGGCCTTGTTCAGTGGAGTGTTATAGTTACTGACTGAATGAACTGTGTTTATGAGACTTTCAGTGGTTAATGTTAGAAATGTATATTTCTTGTGAGCTTATGATGTTTTTGCACCTCACACATTTTACTTTTCCTGCTGAGAGGCTTTTTTGTGAAACAGAAGGCTTAGATGATGTATAAGCAGACACTTTTTGTCAGTGAAATCTTTAATTTATAAAAAATAACAGGAGGTCTGTGTAAGGTCCCTGTACATGTTAAAATTGCTGAATTTTGCAGGACCTTCTTGTTAATTTAAAGCCACAATTTTATATAGCTGAACTGAAATGAAAGTGACTGTTGTTTCAGACTCTTCATATGTTTATTTCAAATTGTCAGTTACAAAGGAAAGTCTTTGTTATTGGAAATATTTTTATTGTAACAAAAGGAAATAAAGAACGAGTCTCCTATCCATGCCTAGGTGGTTGATGTAGCTTGACTGAAAAGAGTGTGTGACTGAGCTGAATGGTCATGGCCTGTGAGGAAGGTAATGAATGTCTTGTTTGGGGTTAGACTGATACAGTACAACACAGTCTACTATGAATTCCATAAAAATGAGGAATTGCAGAATATAAAGGCTGCTGTTTACAAGATGAACATTGTTACTACCACTATGCTGTTGGTGGAGAGTAATGCTACCACACTATACCGTATGCCCATTTGTCAGGAAGAAATGCATAATACCCTTACACATATTACACTTTTTTACTCCGGTTCATCACTGAAATGTTGAAAGTTTTTAGTTATTAGCCTGACCGTGGATGGCAATTTTCGTACAGTAAGTGGTATTTAAAGAAGGGTTGAAGTGATGTGTGATTGGACGGGTATTCACATTCTGGTTTGAATGAGTTTGTTTTCACGTTAGTTTGTGTCAGAGAGACTCCTTTTTATTTCAGTAAGGTGTCTCATCCCTGTTTCCATCATGTGGCACAAGACGGCTCTTTAAACATTCTTAGGTTGGAATTAAAAGCAAAGTTTTCATCAAAAAAGCTTTTAAAGCCTTCTTAATCCATAACCTTATATGTGAATGGAATTTACCAGCCTTTTGGAAATTAAAGATATTTATTTTTAAAGGGTGCATTCACACCCTTTAAAAATTGATTATTATTAATGTTCTTATATCTATACATTTTACGGATATCTAGCTATGCACAATCCTTGAATTGGAAATATAAATTGAAATATAGACTAACAATATGATTTTTTTTTAAATGTCTCGTCTCTTGTGTTAGGTGCAAAGGTAAATAGTTGCACTACATTTGGCTAGTAACCACTGAAACCCGCCTTTTATTATTTTTAAAGTTTACATTTAAATAAACAAATACATTATTTATATTATGCACTTACATAATTTGCAAAGACTGACATTCCAGTGAAGCCATCCCTTCAGCTGCAGTGAGATGGACGTTTTTTAGACGTCATTGGAAAATGTCCCTGCTAGATCCCTTGGAATGAACCTTGGAATGAAGTATCCTGGGATGTGATTACAGGTTCCTGAACTCATCGGAGACAGAGATGGTGTGTCTGGATCTCTAAGATAACAGCATTAATAGGTTTATTTAGACAGTGCAGCATTCTGATTTGCATCCCAAAGGAACAGCCAAATTGTTTGTGCTGTAAACAAGAAGAACACCACTTCAACTATTTGTATTAAGAGTCCTTATTTCCTGTGTGTGAAGAGACTTTCAGCACACAATAGTTACTTCCTTCCCCTCTAGTGCTGGAAATTTGGCAGCCAGAATAAATAATTAAGGCCCTTAAAGTGAAACACTTTATTGTGATCTTTTTGGTTTTTATATTTAGCAGCACAGTATTTTCTAAATGTCTGAAATATAATTAATTTATTATTTTATATGCTCACATGTGCACAACAACATTTTTCCGCTATGCTTAATCAAATCATTGTAAGACCTGCCTGTAACAACTCTCCATCTTTATTGGGTCTTCGGAAGGCAACACACTACTATAGATAGGAGTCAGAAGTTACTTTTCAAGCAAATGAAGTTCCTCTGTTAGGTCACCCTTTTCACAGGCAAATGAAGTTCCTTTGTTACTCGTTACAGCCCAGTTAAGTGCAAACATACTTAATTGTGAGCTAGTAAATATGTGTTGCCTAAGGTGCTCATTTCTGAGGCACTACCATTGCTGGCCAAGGCCAAGAAGAAGGTTGAGCTCTGTGGTTGCAGGCTCGCGCTTGATTTATGTTACTAGGTGACCTGGGTTTTCCATGCTTCAGAGCACAATTGGCTGCGCTACCAAGGGGAGGGTGGGAATAGTGATTAGTTCTCTCAGACACTTTGGGACACAGCATCTAAGGTCTCCCAGGCACTTGCAGATTTGCTGGTGGTGTTGAGCCTCCACTGTGGTGGTGCCTGTCGCGTGTTAAAAGATGCAGGGTGAAGTTGGAGAAGTCTGCCTTCCCTACCTCATTTTCCCCAAGGGCAGTTAGGGGGAGTGCAGCAGCATGTCCTGATGCGAAAAACACAACTTCCAAGTCGTGTGGGCAAAGAAACAAATTAAGTGATTTAATTTAGCGATTCTAAATAAAAAAAAAAGAGATTAGTCACACTGGGGAGGTCTCCTGGACTAACCAATGGCATTTTCTTTTTACCAGGGTACTTGTATAGGAGTAGCAAATTTGCATAATGTTCTGGCAACAATGATTTTCTGATTGAAGTTTCCAGCACACTTGGGTCAACATGCCACATATTTTGATAGATTATAATACAAAGTATCATGTCATGGAGATTTACATTAATAGCATGTTGCAGTTGGCCACGTGAGTAGGTATAATGATTTATCTTGTACTTTTCAGTGAATATACTGTAGCCTTACTGATCAAAATTAGGTCCCACTGATCACTAATTATTTGGGGCGGAGCAGTGGCTCTGTGGCTAAGGATCTGCGCCTGTGGCTGGAAGGTTGCCGGTTCAAATCCTGCAGTCAGCAGAGGAATCCTACTCCATTGGGTTCCTGAGCAAGGCCCTTAACCCCAACTGCTCCAGGGGCGCCATACAATGGCAGACCCTGCACTCTGACCCCAAGCTCTCTCCCTGTCCGTATGTCTCTTGGAGAGCAAGCTGGGGTATGCGAAAAGATAATTCCTAATACAAGAAATTGTAAAGGGTTAATAAAGTAATGTTATGTTATGTTATTTTTCCTGAAAACATGTTAATGCCTGGGAAATTTTTATCTTCATTTTTCTATATCATCCTACTGATTTTAAAATGTTATTCCCACTAGACTAATACATTTCTACATGTTGTCAAACTGTGAATTGTATGTATGGAAAATACGGTATGTTCAGTACTACAGTAGGTGAGTGAGTTGGAGCTCTTAGTAAATTACAAATTAAGTTCCTTATTACAGTATTGAACCTGAAACCTTTTTTTCCTGCATTACACTTCAGTTTCCAGTGAAGGAAACTCAGAGAATGGAATAGTGTCCTGATTTCAGAGAGACGGAAATAAGAAACTTGTGGATCCTGATATTCCACCGATGTTCCATGTGACAGTTCGTGACTTCTACACCTTCTTTAACGTTATCTCAAATCACAAGTAAAAGTCAGACTCTTTTGATAAGACCTAATCCGTGAATCTCTGAGCTGCAAAACATACAGATCATCAAGAAAGAGCAACATCTGGAAGTTGCACTTTTAAGGATGTGTCAGCAATGGGATTATCTAGCATTACTACAGTATTTCTTGACTAACATAATTTAAGTAGTTCAGGTGGGTATCTGTGTCAGCATGCGTAGGCTGGAAAGGGACAAGTAATAGGTTTATTCCATGCTGAAAAGAGAAGAAAGAAAACACATTTCTGCTGTGGAGCCTTTATACCCGAAGAAGACCCCACAGCCGAAACGTTGTGTTTTCTTTCTTCTCTTTTCAGCATGGAATAGACCTATTACTTGTTTCTTTGTAACATTATTAAAGGTCAGTTTTTACAATACAGTAAAAACGATTGTGTATTATTGTGTAAAATCTGTATTTATCACAGCATGAAGGGGAAAAAAGCAGTTTTCAGGTCCCAGTGAAAAGTGTTACATGTTGCATTTGTTCACTATATCATGTTTTGATAGTACATTGATACTTGTATACAAAACCTTGGCCAATAATCAATAAATACCGTTTGCTAGTATTATTAGTAATATATTAGGGGATATTAATCACCCACAGATATTAGTGCTTTATACCAGTGGGTTCTTAACTTTTACTGCACCCCTTTAGTTCTCAAAATCTGTTCTTTGCACCCCATGACTGATATATCAGAACTGTAGAATGAAAGAGATAGATTTAAATATTTTTTTTTATTTTGCAGTACAATTTAGAATACACAAAAATGATACACTTGCATTACATTAAAATACCAAGGTTTGGTGAGAGAAGTAGGTGTACTTACAGTACAGTATGTCCCTGTGCTTGAAATGTGTGTTTTTCGATTATTTACCTTCTAAACCCCCTAAAATGGTATCTTGCACCCCCAGATTAAGACTTTAAATGAACTCAATACATACACAGCGGTTAATCTATCCAGTAGGCACTGAATGGTCTATGAAATGATGACAGCAAATACGGTAAATAGTAAACTATTTAAATCCAGGTTTCTTTAAGTGACTTGATTGAGGGGAAAAGCCACTCTTAAGATTTTGAGAGTGACCAATAAAAAGAAAACTGACACGTTGCATTGAGGGAACATTTTCCACCACTTGTAGTAAGGGTGATACAGTCCAGTCCATCATAAAACCCTGCATTACCCAGTAATTGCAGCTGACTGATATCTCCAGCTGAAACATTTCTGACTCACATTCTGAGCAATAGTGCTGCAGCAGATGCTCTGGCAGAAATGGTGTCTCTTTTCTATTTGCTTATCATTTTCTATCCCTGCAGGCCACCCCACCTGTCTGCAATTTACTGACAACATGATGCAGGCTGTACACACCTACCAGTGGCAGTGCATTGAGTGCAAGTCCTGCAGCCTTTGCGGCACGTCTGAGAATGATGTAAGGCTGTACAGATGCTTTTAGGTGCATGCAAAATACTGTATTGTGACATGTGATTCTATATAAATATAAGAGCTTTAGGTTTCCAGGTTTAACAGCAGTTCTGCATTTCTAAAGAACTATATGTTTCATGAGTTGGAAAGGGAAAAGTGTAAAATAATGGTACATTAAGATCAAATTTATAAAAATCCATGAAAACATAGTATTGTCTGCCTCTGTATTATCACAATGTTCGGTACAGTATGTATAATATAAAATGGGCTCTGGATGTAAGAAACATGCTTGTGAATTGCTCTGATTTGATCTGAAGAATACTGGGCATTCTGACATTCAGTCTTTTGAGACAGACTATAGTTTGAGTGATTCTGTCTGTTTTCACAACATTTTGGGTTTTCCAAAAAGTCTTGCC